AACTTTGGTAGTCCGAGATAGGAGATCACTTGAGCCCCAGGAGTTTGAGAACCAGCCTGGGCAACATAGTGAGACCCTCGTCTTAAAAAACAAACACAAGGGGGCCGGAGCAAGATGGCGAATAGGAACAGCTCCAGCTCCAGCTCCCAGCGCTAGCGACAACAGAAGACAGGTGATTTCGGCATTTCTCAACCCGAGGTACTGGTTCATCTCACTAGGGATGCCGGCGACAAGGGTGTAGCGTCAGCTGCTGCAGCCCGACCAGCGAGGAGCTGAAGCAGGGCGGACGGCATTGCCTCACCGGGAAGCACAAGGGGGAAGGGAATCCTTTTTCCTAGCCAGCGGGAACTGAGACACACAACACCTGGAAAATCGGGTAACTCCCACCCCCAATGCTGCGCTTTACCAAGCGGTCTTAGCAAACGGGCACACCAGGAGACTATATCGCACATTGGCCGGGAGAGTCCCACCGCCAGGGAGCCTCCCCATTGCTAGCACGCAGTCTGTGATCACCGCCAAGGCAGCAAGTGGAGGCTGGGGGAGGGGCGCCAGCCATTGCTGAGGCTTAAGTGGGTAAACAAAGCCTCTGGGAACTCGAACTGGGTGGAGCTCACAGCAGCTCAAGGAGGCCTGCCAGTGTCTGTAGACTCCACCTTGGGACAGGGCACAGCTCTAAACAACAACAACACAACCAACAACACAGCCACCCAGCAGAAACCTCTGCAGACGCAAACGACTCTGTCTGACAGCTTTGAAGTGAGCAGATGGATCTCCAACACCGGAGGTTGAGATCTGAGAACGGACAGACTGCTGCTCAAGTGGGCCCCTGACCCCTGAGTAGCCCTAACTGGGAGACATCCACCACACTAGGGAGCAGACCGACACCCCACACCTCACATGGTGATGCACCCCTGAGAGGAAGCTCCAAAGCAAGAATCAGACAGGTACAACTCGCCTGTTCAGCAATACTTCCTATCTTCCTGCAGACCTCTGTTGCTGATACCGGGCACAAACAGGGTCTGGAGTGCACCTCCAAACAATCTCCAACAGACCTACAGCTGAAGGTCCTGACTGTTACGAAGGAAAACTAACCAACAGGTAAGGACACCCCACACCAAAACCCCATCAGTACGTCCACCATCATCAAAGACCAGAGGCAGATAAAAACCACAAAAGATGGGGAAAAAGCAGGCAGAAAAGCTGGAAATTCAAAAAATAAGAGTAACATCTCCCCCTCAAAGGATAGCACTCCATCGCCAGCAATGGCATCAAAGGGTGGACGGAGAATGACTTTGACGAGATGAGAAGAAGAAGCGCTTCAGTCCATCTAACTCTTCTCAGAGCTAAAGGAGGAATTATGACCCAGCCACAACAGCAACTAAAAAACCTTGACAAGAAGAGTGGAAGAATTAAACTAGACATAATTATGCGAGAAGGGCCATAAGTAACTGACAGCAGCAGAAAACCATGGACACGCAAGAAATACGTGACAAATGCACACTCATAACCGACTCGAACAAACGTAAAAGTATTCAGTGATTGGAAATCAAATCAGAATGAACGGAGAGAGAAATCTAAGAAAAAAGAAGAAACAAGAAATGAACACAACCCTTCAGAGATAATGGATTATGTAAAAACACCAAATCTACCTCGATTGGTGCCTGGAAAGGTGAGGGGTAAAATGAGCGAACCAAGTTGACTGAAACACTCTTCAGGTATCATCCAGAGAACTTATAATAATAATAATAATAATAAACCCCTTATACCATACACAAAATTAACTCAAAATAGACTTAAAAAGCCAAAACAATACAACTTTTAGGAGAAAATTTGAGAAAGCCTCTGAGACCTTCAGTTAGGCAGAAATTTAGATGTGATACTAAAAGCACAGTCAATAAAAGAAAGTTGATGAATTGGTCCTCATCAAAATTTAAAATGTTTACACTTCAAAAGACAGCAATAAAAATAAAAAGGTCAGGTGTGGTGGCTCACGCCTGTAATCCTAACACTTTGGAAGGCTGAGGTGGGAGGATCAGGAGTTTGAGACCAGCCTGGGCAACATAATGAGACCTCCCATCTCTTAAAAAAAAAAAAAAAGAAAGAAAAAGATCAGTGTGCCTTGGGTAAAATATTTGTAAAACACGTATGTGATAAAAGACTTATATCCAGAATATACAGAAAATGTCTACAACTCAATAAAACAAGCAACCGAATCAAAAAATGGTCAAAAGATGTGAATAAACATTTAAGTAAAGAAGATATACAAATGGCTCTAGGCACATGAAAAGATGCTCTGTATCATTAGTCATCAGGCAAATACAAATTTAAAAACCACAAAGAGATGCCATTCATACTACTATTGCTTAGAATAGCTACAATAAATAAGACACAGTAACAAATGTTGGGAAGGATGTGGAGAAATTGGAACCTTCCTGCATTGCTGATGGGATTATAAAATGGTTCAACCACTTTGGAAAACAGACTGGCATTTCCTCAAAAGGTTGAGTATAGAGGTACCATATGACACAGAAACTCCACTCCTAGATACATACCTGAGAGAAATGACAACGTATGTCCACATGAAAACTTGTCCACAAATGTTTACGATAGCATTTTTCACTGTAGCCAAAAAGTGAAAATAAGCTAAATGTCTATCAACCAGATAAATGGATGGACACTATGTTCAGTGATGAAATGATGGGCAGTTTTTAAAATTATTTTCTACATTTTCTTTCATGACTTAACATTAAATATTTGAAAATACTTTGTAAGGAGTATTTTTTAATACAAGAGATAACTGATGACCCACCCCATTAAGGCCTTTGATATGCCCTGTGGATCCTACCTAGGACATACTGTTCTTTTCTGAATGCAAATCTGAATTCATCTCAGAGAGCTTGTACTATGCTAAGTACTGCCTCATAACAATCCTGTAATTTAATTAACTACTAATAAATTCATCTTACTAATAAACTGAGATGTAGAAAGATTAAATAATTTTAGGGTCACCTATCTAGTAAGTAGTAGAGCTAAGTTTTAAATTTAATCTTCTGTTTCCCGAGTATGTGCTCTTAGCCACCAGGTTATACTACAGTGATGCTTTCTTTCAGATATTTTTCTTGTGCTTTGTTTTGTTTTCCTCCATAGGGCTCCAGATTTTATGGAAATGAACTCAAGAAAGAAAAGCAGGTCAACCAACGAATTGAAAATATGATGCAACAAAAAGCTCAAATCACCAGCCAACAGCTAAGAAAAGCACAATTACAGGTATTAGTTAAATTGTTAAGTAAAGTGGAAGCTGGTAGAATAGTAATTGACAGTTAAAATGTATTATCAAGTCATAACTGAAAACAAGATGAAATGTAAATATTCATTATATTGTAAAGCATACATATTCAGCAAATGAACATACTTTTCTGAGTGTTGCTCTGCTCATTTACATAAAGACTCCACACCTAGACATTGTCACCTCTATTATACAGATGAGTAAATGAAGTCTTAATTAGGTTGAGTAACTTGCCCAGCTTGATAGGACAAGTAGTTGGCAAAACGAGGATTTAATCCAAAGCCTATGTTCTTTTTATTGTATACATACTTCGCAGCTAGAAAAAGGCCACAGGATAAATGTGGCATGTTTCTGCAATACTAATGTTGCAAAAAATATTTGAGGAATATGTTAACTAATTAAATTGGAAAGTAACTTAAAACATAACCATGTTATAGTAAAATAAAAAGTCACACTATAGATGAGAATGCCAAATGTACATGAACTTTTAAGATAAAACACAAGACTTCTAAAATCTTGGAAGGTTTTTGCCTTCTCCAGGATTTCGGGAAGTAAATACTCAGTTTCCTCTTCTATTAAAAGTTATTTCAGGAGAAAAGTTTGGGAATATCCAGGTTGCAGGGCACTGTGTGGTAGACTGACAACACAAAGCAGTCAAATTTCTGATAGTAAAACAAGTCATGGCAAGAGGCGTTTACTCTTTATCAAAATCTGATCCAATGTTAACAAAACTCTAGTCTATAAGGTAACAGTAAAATTAGATTAATCTAATATGTTACAAAATCCTTCTCTTGTGACAGAGTTCAAAGATCATAAATTTTATGTTTTCCTTACCAAACTATATAATGTGTCATTTTTTGATACATATGCCTTCTCAGAGCACAAGATAATTTTTACATGGTCTTCTATTATGATGAAAGATGATCTATTTGTCATATCATCATTTTTAATGCTTCACAGCGTTCCACTGGATGGAGGTACCATAATTTATTTACCATATCCCACCTTGATTTCAGGTTTTTGTTTCATACGCAACCCTGTGATTATCCTTCTTACCTTTGTACTCTAGTGCTGTTATTTTGATCAAAGATGGTATCATTTTACATTTTCAGCATGAGAGTATTGATTTTCTCACATAATTGTAAGCCATTAATATTTCCTTATTGTGAGAATTTCCTCTTTTATTCTATTTGCGAGGATATATGCTAAGTTGCTAGCACAAGAAACCAAAAATGTAATATTTTAAATAAGAGCTACTTTCTTTCTCACATAAGTGAGTAGTTCTAGCTGGTGAGTGACTCTGATTATCATTTAGAGACCCAGGTTCTTTAAATCATGTTGTTCCATCATCCCCTGGTGTTATCCTTACCTGCATTAGCAAAACTGAATTATTTTCCATCCATATTCCATCTCCTGGTTAAGGAAGAAAGAAAGGGAAATAATTGAAGGCAAGTACAGTAATTTGCTATTAAACAAGTGCAAAAGAAGTTGCACACATTACTTCAGCTGACATTATTTGGCAAGAATTTAAGTTACATGGCCACACCTAACTGCAAGAGAAGCTATAACTTTAGCTGGGTGCCCATGTGCCCAGCTGAAAATTCATTACTATGGAAGGAAGGAAGAATGGATTTTGGGATTCAAGTAGCAGCCTGAAGCAATGTTTTTTGCCCACATTTTTAGGGGAGTTTATATCTATCTTGATTTATAGAGTCTTAATATAATAGAGATTTTTTCTTGCCATTTGTTTTGAATATTTTTCCAATATATTATCTTTTAATTTTGCAATTTTTCCCATATAATTTTTAATATTTCTGTAATCAAAGCCAGTGACTTTAAAAAAAATTGTATATATATGTATATATCTTCCTTTCACTTCAAAATTTATTTTTTTTAACTTTTAAGTTTGGGGTACATGTGCAGGTTTGTTATATAAGTAAACTGGTGTCATGTGGGTTTTTTGTACAGATTATTTTGTCACCCAGGCATTAAGCCTAGTACTACCCATTAGTTATTCTTCCTGATCCTCTCCCTCCTCCCATCGTCCACCCTCCAGTAGGCCCCAGTGTATGTTGTTCCCCTCTATGTGTCCATGTGGTTTCATGATTTAGCTCCCACTTACAAGTGAGAACATGCCGTATGTGGTTTCTGTTCCTTTGTTAGTTACTAGGGATAATGGCCTCCAGCTCCATCCATGTCCTTGCAAAAGACATGATCTCATTCTTTTTTATTGCCGCACAGTATTCCATGGTATATATGTATAAAATTTTCTTTATCCAGTCTATCATTGATGAGCATTTAGATTGATTCCGTGTCTTTGCTGTTGTGAATTGTGCTGCAGTGAACAAACACAAGCATGTATAAAAAGACCATATTTTTCAAAGCGGTTTTAGGTTCACAGCAAAATTGAACAAAAGGTACGAAGATATTCCATATACTCCTTTCTCCCCACAGGCATAACCTCCCCTACTATCATCATCCCCCACCAGAGGGGTACATTTGTTACAGTTGATGAACCTATGTTGACACCACCTTATCACCCAAAGTTGATAGTTTACATTAGGGTTCAATATTGGTGGTGTACATTCTGTGGGTTTCGACAAATGTACAGTGAGGTGCATCCACCATTATAGTATCATAAAGAGTAGTTTCACTGCCCTAAAAAAACACTCTGTGCTCCATCTATTCATCCCTCCCTCCCCCAGTAACCCCTGGCAATCACTGACCTTTTTACTATCTCCATAGTTTTCCCTTTTCTAGAATGTCATATATTAGAATCATATAGGATGTAGCCTTTTCAGACTGACTGTTTTTACTTATGCAGTGTAAATGCATACATTTACAGTTCCTTCATGTCTTTTCATGGCTTAATAGTTCATTTATTTTATGTACTGAATGTTACTCAATTGTCTGGATGTACCACAGACAATTTTTTTTTTTTTTTGAGATGGAGTCTCTCTCACTTTGTTGCCCAGGCTGGAGTGCAGTGGTGCAATTTTGGCTCACTGCAACCTCCGCCTCCCAGGTTCAAGCTTTTCTCCTCCCTTGGCCTCCCGAGTAGCTGGGATAACCAGTGCCCACCTCCATGCCTAGCTAATTTTTGCATTTTTTAGTGGAGACAGGGTTTCACCATGTTGGCCAATCTGGTCTCCAACTCCTGGCCTCATGTAATCCGCCCGCCTCAGCCTTCCAAAGTTCTGGGATTACAGGTATGAGCCATACCATAGACAATTGAATAATATTCAGCACATAAAATAAATGAGCTATCAAGCTATTTGTCCATTTACCTACTGAAGGTTACTTTGGTTGCTTCTAAGTTTTGGGAATTATGAATAAAGCTGCTGTAAATATCCATGGCCAGGCTTATGTATGGACATAAGTTTTCAACTCCTTTAGGTAAATACTAAGGAGTGCAATCGCTGGATAATATGGTAAAATAAAATTATGTTTAGCTTTATAAGAAACTGCCAAACTGTCTTCGAAAGTGACCATACCATTTTGTCTTCCCACCAACAATGAATGAGAATTCCTGTTGCTGAATATCATTGCCATCATTTGGTGTTGTCAGTATTGTGAATTTTGGCTATTCTAATTTATGTATAGTGGTATCTCATTGTTGTTTTAATTTGCATTTCCCTGATGACATATGATGTGGAGCATCTTTTCATGTGCTTATTTGCCATCTGTTTATCTTCTTTGTTGAGGTGTCTGTTAAGGTCCTTGACCATTTATAATCAAGTTGTCTGCCTTCTTATTTTTGGTTCTTAAGAGTTCTTTGTGTATTTTGGACAACAGACCTGTATCAGATATGTCTTTTGCAAATATTGTTTCCCAACCTGTGGCTTTTCTTTTTATTCTATTGACAGTATCTTTCACAGAGCGGAAATTTTTAATTTTAATGAAGTCTAGTTTATCAATTATTTCTTTCATGGATTGTGCCTTTGGTATTGTATCTAAATAGTCATCATCAAATCCAAGTCCATCTATATTTTCTCTTGTGTTATCTTCTAGGAATTTTATAGTTTTGCACTTTACAGTTAGGTCTGTGATTCATTTGAGTTCATTTTTGTGGAGGATATAAGTTCATCTCTTTTTTTTTTTTTTTTAAACATGTGGATATCCAATTGTTCCAGCACAATTTGTTAAAAAAAAAACTTTTCTTGCTAGGTGTGGCGGCTCACGCCTGTAATCCCAGCACTTTGGGAGGCCAAGGTGGGAAGATCGCTTGAGCCCAGGGGTTCAAGACCAGCCTAGGCAACATAGCAAGACCTTGCTTCTACAAAAAATAGAAAAAAATAACTGGGAGTGATGGCACAGGCCCATGGTCCTAGCTGTTCGGGAGGCCGAGGTGGGAAGATTGTTTGCGCCTGGGAGGTCGAGGTGGCAGTGAGCCATGATTGCACTCCTGCCAGGGCAACAGCATGAGTCTCCAGAAAAGAAAAAAGAAAAAAAAAAAAGAAACTCTTATTCGTGTTACTGAGTCATTGCTCCTTTTTCAAAGACCAATTGTCTGTATTTATGTGAGTCTATTTCTGGGCTCTGTATTCTGTTTCATTGATGTATTTGTCTGTTCTTTTGCCAATACCACACTATCTTAATTACTGTAACTTTATAGTAAGTCTTGAAGTCAAGTAGTTTCAGTCCTTCAGTTTTGTTCTTGTTCTTCAATATTGTGTTGGCTAATTGGATCTTTTGCCTCACCATATAAATTTTAGAATCAGTTTGTTGACATCCACAAAATAACTTGCTGGGATTTTGACTAGGATTGCATTGAGTGTATAGATGAAGTTGGGAAGAACTGACTGGCATTTGATCATAGAGTCTTCCCCTTCATGAACATGGAATATCTCTCCATTTAAGGATGCTCCTTGGCTTACAATGGAGTTACATTTGGATAAACCCATTATAAAGTTGAAAAATTGTAAGTCAAACCATCATAAGTCTAGATATTCCCTGACTTAACGGTGGGATTATGTCCAGA